AAAATGTGGCATCCTAGTCCCCAGGGCCTTGCAGCAGAGGGACCTCCCATTCCAGCCTATTCCGTGTTCCTAGGTGGGGGAGGGCCATCACAGGAGGTTATCAGCTTCCAAACAAGGGGTCTGGGCCTCTGTCAGCACTCAGGCTGATGGGCAGAGAGGGACAGATAAGTGGGCTTAAGAAACCTGAGGAATGTGCATCCCCAGCCCCATGAGGGGGCTCAGCCCAGGGAGAGGGCCTGTGAGGGGTGGGGTGGGAACCCGTCTTTGCTTTTCTGGTCTTTGAGGCAGGTTGAGTAGAGCAGGGCCCTTAGAAACCTGATTCCCAGGGCCAGATGGAGGGAATTGGCCAGATTGGGTGACAGGGAAACCAGAATCCTGGTGGCCTGGCATATGGGGGCAGAAAGGAGCTCATGGGAGTCAGCCTCCTCCACTGAGGGACTATTGCCCCCAGCACTCCGCCATCCTGTCCCATCCCTAGAATCTACTGTTATGCCACGAAGAGAAAGGGGTTGCTTGTGTAAGGACTGTATGTATCCAGTTCTGGGGTCAGCAGTTCAGCTGTGTTGATGGGGGGGTGGGGGGCATCAAGGCCCTACAAACAAACAAAAGGTTACTTCCCCAGACAAGCTGAGGATGGACAGAGAACAGGACCTGAGAGAATCAGGCCAATTCACACCAGCTGACCTCTCCATAATACAAAGAGGCTGGGTTGGGGGCAGGTGGTCGACTTCAAGAGTGTCCCCACAGTATAGAAAGTAGTGCCTAACCTAGGTGTTAGGTACATGAGACAAAACTGGAGTGGGTCGCTGCTTGGGCTCCAGGGGGTAGGGTTAAGAGGAGAGGAAGTGGGACCTCTTGGTCCTGGAAGTTTTTCCTTATCAGTGTGATGAGTTAGGGGTAAGTTTTCAACCTCCCTTTCTCAAGTGGAAGACAAAGACGCCCTTTCGTGTTTCGGAGATCAGGGTCGTGGGTGCCTCTCCAACCCAGGATTTACCTCCAGGTGTTGCCGCCACCGACCCGGCTAGGAGCCATTCCGGGAGAGTCTGGAGGGGAAGGCGGAACTAGCGCCCTCTGGTGGGCGTGTTTAAAATCGCTTGTGGTCGTAACGGGGCCAACGACCGCTAAAGGCGAAATAGGCGGGAATAAGTTGCTAAATTTTGAATGCATATATGCTTTCATTCACGCGAAGCACTCGTGCTAGAAGAGGAGTTAGTTGGTGTCATCTCCCTTTTTTTTCCCACCTCCTTTCGGCTCCTGCCTCCAACCCCTTGGTACGTGCGTAGTGCAACGACTAGCCATCTCTCCGGAAACCTTCCAAACTCACTCATCTACCCCTTGCTCATACCTCCCGCCATCAGTGTCTACCCCCTGTGACTCTGCTGATCGCCCATTGTATTTCTTGCCTGTTTTCCAGTTGGGTCTCCCGGCGAGTGGACTACGAGCAGGGTCCTGCCCGCAGTGGGAGCCCAATCCACATTTGCCTTCTAGTTCAGGAGTCTCCTGGCCCCTGTGGCGCGGCGCAGACAGACTTGGGAATTGTTTTTCCCTCCTTCCAGATCACACCTTTTCAGGATACCCCTTTACTGCACTCTCAGTACACAACAGGAGAGCTGTCGATTCTCTGGCTTCAGAGAGCTTGCGGGATGTAGGCATAGGACGGTGTCTGGGGAACGCTGAAAGAGGGCCAACCCGGTACTGGGGTGGAGATGGGGGTAGGAGACGAAGAACGGCGGCTCTCGGTCTCCGTGCGACATGGCTAACGCAGTAGTGGGGATTTGCAGTTCAACCATCCGCATAGAGTCGGTAGCACTTTGAACGCTGAGCACTGGAAGCGTGAGTCGCTGCGACCTGCAGGCGTGGTGGCCTGGGTGTGGATTTGAGGGGCCTGTGGCTAGGCCAGGGGTGCGTTTGGGCCCTGGCGAGCGCATGTTTGCAGAGAGGGCCGTTTGTGTTGGCAAAGAATGTGTGTTTGTGTTTGCAGGAGGGAGTGTGTGCATGTGTGTGTGTTTGTGTTTGCGGAGTGTGGGGGCGGCCGGGAAAGGTGGCCAGGCTGTCACTCAGAGATCAGGATGACAGGCGCTCCCTCATCTAGGCGCGGGAGCTCTGATTGCAGATTCAAGGAAACAAAATAGCAATTGTAATTACCGGGCTTTGATAAGATAAAGGAAGGAGGGAGCTGGCCGGGAGGCAGGCTAGCAAGGGAGGGAGGGAGAGTGGCCTGCAGGAGTCCGTTGCAACATTTGCATCTGTCAGTCACCGTCTGCTCTGGGTGCCTACTGTGGAGGAGACCCATCTATCCCTGCCCCCCAAAGACAGGAATTTTGGGGAGACGAGAAGAATCCCGAAGATCTGGGTGATGCTCCATCCAGTTCCTGGGAGTTTCCACATGTAAAAGAATTTGGTCTCTCAGAGGTGGGAGGCAGAGATAGAAAGTAAGAGTAAAACCCTGACCTGGAACCCTTCTCTGAGAGAGGGGGAGTGCTGGTGTCTGCTGAGGGTAAGGGAAGGGACTGTGGATGTGGATCACTAAGGTTCAGCTCTGGAGGCTACTCAAACCTGGTGCCAGTCAGGTGCCCCACCCTACACATCCACACTCGGAGGAGGAACTGGGACCCAGGCTTTACAGCTAGGCTGGTTTCCCTGAACCCTACCTGTTTCTTGTTCCTCAAGCTTATTTTCAGAGCGCTGTGTTCTTAGTGGGGAGAGGGCCTTTCCTTTTCAGGAGGAGTCTATCCTTTGCCTTCCGTTTGTTTAGGCATTCACTCATTAACACATTCAAAAATAAACCCTCTTGAGGGTCTCTTATTCACAGCACATGAAGCAAAGTCTGAGCAAACAGACATCACCTTTGCCAGCTTGGAGCAATGCAAAATGGGGCAGACAAGTCATCCTCAAGCCCCCCCCCTCCCCACCCCGCAAAGCACGCAGCGAAAGAAAGGGGCTGGCCTTTGTTATGGACACTGGAGGCCCTCGGACCTATCTTCCCTCCCTGGACTTCCCAGTGGGGTTGAAAGGAGCTATTGCCTGCCAAATCATTACCAGATACAAGTGTGCAATAACTGGTCTGTCTGGCTATCATCTGTTGGCAGGTGAAGTCAAGTCTCCTTGGGAAAGTCACCATGGGTGGAATGCAGTCTAAATGCCTAGCAAGGTTCCCCCATCTGTCCACCCAACAAACTCTGCATGCAGAGCAATTCTGCCCCGCTCTGCATGAGCTGCAAGTTCAGAGCTGGTAAAGACCCTTGCCTTCAGGTCTGTGAGGATCAGAATCCATGAAGGCAATCACAGATGGACTCAGGAAGTCTACTTCTCTGAGGAGGGCTGAGAGGGACTCCATGGAACCTGTCCTATACATTGCTGAGTGCTTGCAGGGCTGAGAAGGACTCCCTGGCACTCACTCAGCCTTCTATATATTGCTCAGTGCTTGCATTTGCAGCCGGGAGTGGGGAAAGATGGGATACAGAAAAGGGAGAGGCAGGCAGACCCGGAGTGTGTTGATTGACAAGGACCTGCTTGCCTCCCTCTGGCCTCCGAAGGCTTCCTAGGGCCACCAGACCCTCTAGCTCTACCCCAGAGGCACAGAGGGTCAGTAGAGAGAAGGCTGGGGGTGAAGGCAGCAGCTGGGTGGACATCAATGGCTCCACCTGTTCCTCAAAAATACCTGACCCAGGAAATTTCTGCCCACCCAGGTTGTGCCCACAGAAACAAAGTAGTGGCTCAGGGTTCCCAGAAGCCCTATGAAGAAAGCAGTGAGGTGAGAGGCTGGGAAAGGCTTAGATGAGTTTACCTTCTCACCAGCACCCCCCTCCTTCCAGCTGAGACAAGACACCAGATACCACCAGATACCTGCTCAAGGAAAACATCATGGAACTCAGAAGGGGAAAGGCTAGGTAGCTTGGGTCCAAGTCCTCGTTCCTCAGGTAGTTGCTGAATGTAGTTATTTTTGCCAGTACTAGTTGCTCAGTTCTATTTAGAAGGGGGGCAGTGACTGTGGGTCCAGCAGGGACCTTTGGGCTCCTATCACATAGATGCTTCAAGGTTTCTTTCAAGCTTCAGTCTGGCGGGCGGGGGGGGGGGGGGGCGGGGGCAAGGTTGATGGTGATAATGGGGTGACAGGAGGCATTTCTCCCTCCCAGGGCCTCTTTGGAGACAGTGAGACACGACCCAGCAGGGCTGGGTTCTCAGAAAGGTGGAAGAGCCGGGTTCCAGCGACGCACAAGGGACGCTCTGCACTGGGCCCCACAGCACAGCCATTCACCTCACTGTCAGCTGCCTCTTCCAAAGAGGACAAGTGCGGCCGAAGCACACAGTAGGCGACTCAAACAGCGGCGAGCAGCCCAGCTACGTAAGCAGACCCGGCCCCGCGCGGAGAGACAGCCTTGCCTGACTCAAGCGCACCAGACCCCTCCAAACACGCCGTCCCAGGCGCCCCCCATCCCCGGGCCATCCCGCCCCAGGAACGCTCGAGGAGACAGGCAAGGGTAGTGGGAGGCGCCCGTACCAGCCGCCCCCGCCCCTCCCGCGGGTCCCCCCCAGACCCCTCCCCTGGGCCAGACCCCCCAATCCCAGCCCTGCCCGCCGCCCCGCCCCGGGCCGCCCCGCCCCCGCCCCGGGCGGCGACCCGGCCCCAGCGCCCAGCCGGGGGTGCGGGCTCCGGCCGCCCGCCCGCGCTCCCCCCCCTCGCGGCCGGTGCGGCGCCCCCCGCCCCTGCCCTCCCCCTCCCTCCCCACCTCCCCACCCACCCCGCAGGCCCGTTACCCTACCGCCTGCTCCGGCTCCTGAGCAGCCAGCGGCCACCGGCTCGGGCAGCGGCGCAGAGCGGATCAGCGCGCGCGGGGAGCACGACATTCCACGGGACCCGCCGCGCCGCGTCGGCTTCGTCGCCGGGCTCCCGCACCTCCACCTTCCTCGGCCTCCGCCCCTTCGGCTCGTCCCCCCGCGGCCTCCCGTGGGACGGCGTGACCCCGCCCGGGCTCTCGGTGCTCCCGGGGCCGCGCGCCATGGGCAGCCCCCGCTCCGCGCTGAGCTGCCTGTGAGTACCGCGGTCGCCCCCGCGTCCCCGTCGGCCGGCGCCCGCCGCGCCCTCTCCGCTCACCCCGCGCCTCTCTCCTGCCCGCTTTTGTCTCCCACAGGCTGTTGCACTTGCTGGTTCTCTGCCTCCAAGCCCAGGTAAGGAGCGCTGCGCAGAGGCGGGGGCCGGGCGCGGGGGACCCAGCTGACACTGTCGGGCAGGGACACGAGGACCGACCCTTCGGCCAGCGCAGCAGGGCTGGAAAGAACCTTACAAATCCAGCCCCAAACTACCCTGAGGAGGGATCTAAGGAACAGAGAGACAGTGTCCTGCCTAAAGTCACACAGCGAGTGAGTGGACAGACTAGAACCCCAGGGTCTTGAGGCCGGCGAGTCTCAAACGCGTGCCAGCCAGGTCGGGTGGATGGGAACTTTACCTGTAGCCACACCCGGCCTCCTAGGAAAGGCGGGAGCTGGAGCCAGCGGGGGTGCCTTGTCAGGGGGGGAAGTTGGGGTGTAGTTGTTGCAAAGATCCTCTCCGCTGCTCTCTGGGGAGGCTTGTGGCCCGTTTCGGCCAACGATCGTGTTAGTCTAGGCCCTTTGCACTCTCAACATTTGCTCCTTAAATTTGTCTTTATAAATGTCACGGGTCGGGTAGCGTTGCCTCGCTACTTAAAAGCACCCTGCTCCTCTAGGAAGGCCCGGGCGGGGGGCCTGCGCTGGGCAGGGAGCCCGCTTCCCTGCTCCGAGCTGGCCGGGAGCCCCAGGGTGTTTCCCAACAGGTGGGTCCAGATTCTCCCTCATCCCGGGTTTATCCATCCTGGGCTGGGGCTGCGAGACTTCCCCGCGGGGGTTGGTGGCCTGAGCCAGCATGTTGGGGGGATGCCCCCAGTCCCTGCTGGCTGCCTGGCGCGGCGGGAGGTGGGCACAAGGGCAGTGGGGACCACTCGGGACCCCTGGGCGGAGTAGCATTATAATGGCGTGCTGTGTATTTTTCAATTTCCTAAAGGTAACTGTTCAGTCCTCACCTAATTTTACACAGCATGTGAGGGAGCAGAGCCTGGTGACGGATCAGCTCAGCCGCCGCCTCATCCGGACCTACCAGCTCTACAGCCGCACCAGCGGGAAGCACGTGCAGGTCCTGGCCAACAAGCGCATCAACGCCATGGCAGAAGACGGAGACCCCTTCGGTAAGGCGCATTCCCCGGACTCTGCAGAGAAGAGGTAGTTGTGGACCTCGCCGCTCCCCGCCAGCTCTAGGCTGCAGTGGCCAGGGAGGCCTGGAGCTTCCCAGCTGAGAGAGAGGCGAAGGAGTTAAGGCAAAAAGGTGTCTGGAGGGTCAGCTGGAGAGAACGGTAGGGAAAGAACCCTGGGGAGGATGTGGCCCACAGGTGCCCTCTCTTCCCTGCTCCTCCAATGAATGAATCCAGGAGTCTCCCTTACAACCTCCCCCCTTCATACACCTCTTTCCAGCTGCAGGTGGAGGCGGAGGGTTCAGGGGAGGGGGCCCGGATTTAAGGGAAGTTCTTGAAAGAGGATATGTCGCCAGGGCCCACAAAAGGAGAGTGGGGAAAAGAAGGTAGAGAAGCCGCAGTTTGCCCAGCTTGGAAAAGGCGGATGATGCTAACTGATGAAGCGGGTCAGTTGCACACTGAGGCTAGGCCTGAAAGTTAGACTCCCGGCTCCAGTTGTGGACACCCCAGGGGGCTGAGTAGGCTGGCGGCTCCCCGTAGGGCTGCTGAGTACAGGGAGCTCCTGGGGCAGGGGCTGAGAACTGATTGATTTCTAAAACATTCAATATTCCTGTCTTGAGAAGGGGCCTATTTCCAGAGTCCTGGATGTACCACGAGGAAGGCAAACCCTCTGGGTGGCAGGCGTTGTTTTTAGAGAGCGATTATTGTGAGTTTAAAAACCTTTAAATAATGACAACTTAAACAAGCATGAAAGGAGAGAGGAAGACTCTATTAAAATGTAATAAAAAGGTGAGGCATTTTAAGAGCTAAGAAGAAAAATGAATGATATAAAACAGAAAAAGAACCAGCCCCCCCCCCTTTTTTCAGATGTAGAGTTTGAAAGGGGTTGCAAGTCTGTAAATGTTAAAAAAGGAGGCTAAAGATTGTTCCCTAGGAATCTCTGGAGAGACCCCTGCGTCTGGCAGAGCGATTAAAAGTCTTCTTGCTTTCACCTTTTTTAACATTTCCTGAATACTTTCTCCTCTTCTCGAGCCAGTTTGGGGGATCGAGTATGTCTCGCTGCATTTTTTCAGCATCGACGTAGCTGACTTCCCTTCAAAGCTGGAGGAGGAGACATAATTTTCCTGGGATAAATCTGTCACTGGGGTGGAAGAATAGGTTTGAAAATGTTAAGCTTTCCAAAAGCCTGGTTGGGAAAGCCGCTGTAAACTGCATGACCAGACTCCCCAGATCGACCGGAGGAGAGTGGGGGCTCTTTGGGTGGGGGTGGGGGTGGGGGGCAGCCTGCCTGGTGGCCGAGCTCCCCCGCTGGGCTGGCAGAGCCGGCCTTCAGGCCCTTTGTCCCTCCAAACTGGCTGCTTGCTGGCCCTTCTCAGCTTCCCAAGAAGAAAAAGGAAAGATCGGCTGGCCCTCCAGAGTTTACTCTGCTGGAGCAAATGGCCTAGCATCCTTGGGTTTGGGGGTGGGAAGGGGAAACATAGCTGGCACTGAAGGAATGGATGCCCGCTCACTTCCCTCAGACTCAGAGGAGGCTTCCAGGGTTCCTGGGTCTCTGCCCGCAAGGCAGAAGTTTGGGTCTGGGGCTCTAAGAACAGAGACATAAAGTGCATAGACTGGGAGAGCGGTCGAGAGGTCCCAAGAAGGGGCAGAGGTGCCCACTGTCATGGGGTGCTGGGCTAGAATCTTCAGAGCAGGGTCCTCTCATCCCTGCCCTAGCCTGCATCCTTCCCTGGCCGTGAAGCAACTGCTTCTTGCTCTACCAAGTAGACATGAGGAATGAACGGATTGCCTGGGTCTGAGAGGAGAGGTGAGCAGGAGAGGTAACAGTTTCGGTCCCCCGCTGACTTGGGGACAGACTGGGGACTTCTGGGTCCCACTTTTGCACCTATGTGAAGAGAGGGAGTATAAGAGGCTAGGCAGTGTGAGGACTTCATTGACGACCCCTGTGCCCCCACCCTTGGTTTTAGAGAGACACGTGAAGGCTTTCTCAAGGTGGAATAAAGCTGGGCTGTGTGGTAGGGAGGGCAGGAGATCCAGTCTTCTGTCCCATCATCTCTCATCTCATTCAGCCCTCCCTCTCTTCTTGGGAACAGTCTCGAAGAGAACAATTACATAAAGAGGTGATCAGAACCAGCCTCTCAGGCAAGGTGGCTGTCCACGTGAATAGGAAGTAGAGAAGGGCACAGAATTCAGCCCCAGGCTTATATCACCTCTGAAAGCATTTGGCCAGTGCCTAAGGAGCCCAGCTGTAGTGAAGGCTGAGAGTAAAGACAATTGAGTTGTTGGTGTCTACATGTTAGAACTGGGCTCTGATGAATGGCAAGCTGGTGGAAAGGGGGCAGGATCCTCCTGGCTGGTGTCTGGTTCCAGAAAGCAGTCTGCGAAAGCACAGTGCTGGGAGAAATGCCCTCCTCCCCTTTGAAGACTGGTCTTATTCCAAATCAAGTGTGTGTGTGTGTGTGTGTGTGTGTGTGTGTGTGCACTCTCCTGAGAGTGCATGTGTGTGTGCAGATGCCCGCCGAGGTCAGCAGAGGGTGTTGGATTCTCCAGAGCTGGAGTTACAGGCAGTTGGGAGTCACCTTATGTGGGTCTTGAGAACTGAACTCCTGTCCTCTACAAGAGTGTGCTGAGCCATCTCTCCAGCCCCTCTCTGTCACTTCTTGAAGAGCAGGGCTGCCCAAGGGGTGGAGGATGGCCAGGGCTGCTAGAACTGAAGGGGCAGGAACAGAACAGGGCGTTTTTTACCTTTAGCCTCATGGTGGGAGGTCACCACTGTTCCCAGATGTTCTTAATAATCTGTGGGGCATGAGCTCATGATACACTAAGTCGGAAAGATATTCAGAGATCTCTCAAGTTAGCTTATGGAATCTACATAGATGAAATTTTCCTTGGTACCTCAACCTAATAATATTGGCTTCTAGCATGAAAAGAGGGCTGAAGGAATGGAGATTTGGGATTCTCAGTTTGATGCATCCAAATAGTTCCATGAAACTCAGCTCGTAAACTGCCATCAGTCCCAGCCCCTCTACAAGCCCAGAGGTTGAGTCTCAGGTCCTGAAAAGAGAGCTGATCTTTCTTAGGGCTGCCCAGCGTATCAGCAAGTGGGCTGGGGCTAGAGTCTGTGTGTTTTCTGTTCCTAGCTCTTGGAGTATTTGTTCCAGGGATAGGACACAGCCTTGGGCCGGCCCACGGGGGTAAAGCTGTGGAACACAGAGGCCACAGATTTAGTGACCATCTCATAACTTCTCTACAGCAAAGCTCATTGTGGAGACGGATACTTTTGGAAGCAGAGTTCGAGTCCGGGGAGCAGAGACAGGTCTCTACATCTGCATGAACAAGAAGGGGAAGCTAATTGCCAAGGTGAGGTTCCAGAAGGGAAGTGGGGCTTGGGGAGGTGGTGTGGACTGACTGAACCTCTCTAGCACACTTTAATCTCAACAAGGTGAGTGGAGAGACATGGTACCTTGGTTACCTAGGCTTTGTCTAATGATTAGATGGAGGAGAAAGAGAGAAGTAAAAAGTCAGAGAGAGGAAAACCTATGAAGATGAAGAAGGAAGGCCAGGAAAGGGCTGGGGGTGGTGATGGCAAATTCCATATATCTTTTTAACAAATCGCCAAATTGCTTTGCTATTATGTCCAATTACATGGTACCAGCATTTGGAATGTTCAGTAAGCCGCAGGCCCAGCCCCTCGGCCTAGCTCTGAAATGGCCCCATTAGTCACGGCTCCTCTCCAGCCTCAAGCTCCCTGCTCCTAGGCTTCAAGGCTTGGGCCTCAGAGTCCCTCCCGGGCCTCCCCTCCCCCGCATAGGGTGGCTGTCCTGGGGGCTGCTCCTGAGTCCGGAGATGCTGAGGCGGGCAGGTGGAGAAACGCGGGCAGCCGGGGCCAGACTGGTGGGCAGTAGGCCAGAACAGGCAGGCTTTGGGCCCCTCTGCCTCGGGCCCAGCCCCTCCGTAGACAGCCATGTGTCACTGCTGCCCAGGAGGACAGGAAGTTGCCGGGTGGGCTGCGGGTTGTGAGGGATTAGAGAGCGGGTGCCCGGGTAGGGGGTGGGGCCGGGCTCGGGCTCCCCTCGCCATCTGCTGGGGTGCCCACCTGCTGTCTGGGGCCGCTGGCCCTCTGTCTCACATGGAGGGAGGCTCGGTAACACCGCGTCTGCTCCCCTCCTCCCCAACTACCTGCAGAGCAACGGCAAAGGCAAGGACTGCGTGTTCACGGAGATCGTGCTGGAGAATAACTACACGGCGCTGCAGAACGCCAAGTACGAAGGCTGGTACATGGCCTTCACCCGCAAGGGCCGGCCCCGCAAGGGCTCCAAGACGCGCCAGCACCAGCGCGAGGTGCACTTCATGAAGCGCCTGCCGCGGGGCCACCACACCACCGAGCAGAGCCTGCGCTTCGAGTTCCTCAACTACCCGCCCTTCACGCGCAGCCTGCGGGGCAGCCAGAGGACTTGGGCCCCAGAGCCCCGATAGGCGTCCTCCCGGCCCCTCCCCGCCCGCCCGTCCGCCCACCGCCCGCCGCCGCCCGCAGCGGACTCCAGCGAGAGACCGGCCGGCCGGCCGCACGGCCAAGGGGAGGAGCTGGGGAGCTGCCTTCTAGTTGTGGATATTGTTTGCTGTTGGGTTTTTTTGTTTTTGTTTTTGTTTTTTTTTAACAAAAGAGAGGCTCTATTTTTGTATTCCACTGGCTGTGGTGTCTTGTCTTCTTAGCTCTCGGAAAAGCCCCTTGGTGACCTGAGACTGGGTTCCCGAGACTGGGTTCCCGGGGGCCTCCCTAGGGTGGGTGGAGGGCTCTCTAGTCTGGCAGACGTTCTCCTGAGGTCTCAGCACTGGCAGGGCACCTGGCCAGGCCAGTCAGGGCCACTCTGTACCCCAGGCAGGGGCAGGGAGCAAAAGATTGGGCCTAGGTCAGCCCCTTAGGGATGGGTGTCAGTGTACTAGTTACTATTAAATGACTGAAATGTTTATTTAACTTGTATATTAGAAATGTGTATTGGAGAATGAGTCCTGCCAGGGATAGCCCCTTCCCATGGTGCTGCCCCAACGGCAGGTCCAAGGCCACCCTCCGTCTCAGGGCCTCCTGGTTGCCATCTTTCCCCTTTACTCCCCGGGAGAGATATTGTGGGGAAGACAGAGCAGTGAAGAAAACATGGAGAGATTTTCAGCCGGCCTTGGGGCTCTCAGATGAGGAGCTCCTCGCTCTGCTAACACTTTCCAAGCCCAGGGCCAAAATGAAGAAGAGGCCGGAGCCCTCTGTGGTTCCCGTTGGCCCTAGTCAGAGACTGTAGAGCTGGTCATAGTCTATAGCATCTGACCTCCAAACTGAAACAGCTGCCGCCCAATGTCCAAGGTGTTAGGGAGGTGTGGGAGGGGGGGCTGCCAAGGCTGGTGTTGACCGTTGTGACGCGGAACAAAGTTAACTTTGGGAGATCCAGGCCAGAGCTGTGAACAGAAAGTGCCAGGCTCAGGTGCTGAAAAGCCTAGGACACGGTTGTGCAGGAAGGGGCCCACCAGGGGGACCTGGGTCTTCAGAAAGAAGAACTAGGCATGGGCAGGAGTAGGAGGGAGGCTTTGGGGATAAGCCTCATGTCACACCAGGGAGGCTCAGAAGCAGGACTCCTGTGCCCAGAGCTGGCCCACTCTTCATGACAGGCCTTCCATCCTGGCTACTCCTATAGCCCAGCTCCTAGGACAATCTGGAAACTTCTTCCCCGTAGGCCTCTTTTTAAAACCTCACTTGGCATGGGTTGGGGCAGCCAAAGGCTTTCTAACCATGGGGACATTCCAGAATTGTAGCCTACGGCCCAGGCTCAGCCTTTCCAGGTGGATCAGGATTGCCAAGCCTCAGTGGAAACAGAGGCTGGGGTCCTCAGTCCCTGTCTACCTCATCCCAAGGCCTGCAGAGGAGAGTGAAGAAGGCCTCTGGATAGAGTGTGGTCTTTCAGGTGCACAGACACGGGGGGAGGGGGGGGGGTATGGAGAAGGGGCTCCAGCTAGCTCTCTTCCAGCTCGTCCAGCTCCTGGTGCCCCGTCCTCTGCTCCCCTCCCCCTTTAATTAATTCTGGGTGAGCAGCCTGGCTTTATTGTGCGCGGAGCTGGGGTCTCACTGTGGGAAAAGTCACACCTTCTGAACAGCTTCTGATGCCATGCAAATGAAGAGACCGTCCAGGAAACGCTTTCATCTGCACGGTCGCCTGTCCAGCCCCCAGCCCAGTAATTACCCACATTTCATTTGTTTGAGAGCAATTCCTGGGGAAAGCCATGGGGTGGGAGGGAGTCTAGGGGGTGACGGAATGTCAGGCCCTGTGATCCTGGCTACAAAGCGAGGCCTGGCTGGGCCAAGGGTGGTCGGTGGCTAGGCCAAAGCTAAGCCTCAAGCCTCTGGGCTAGGAGCACCTGAGTCTTCAGAGGTCCCGCTGCGACAGGGCTGTGTTTGCATCTAGGTAGAAGAGGTGGGCACTTAAGAGAGTCAGACCTGCCTTGCCAGGGAGAGGCCAGAGAGCTGGGCAGGAGGGTGGGAATGGGCTGAGGCTGTCTGAAGCCTTCCCCCAGGCCAGGGACCCATGGGAGCTGAGCACAGAGCAGTAGGGTGAAGCCAGGCTGGAGCACCCACCAATTTGTTTATCTTTGAGTTGCTGCCTCTACAGAGCACTCACTAATGGGGTTTTACAGCCCACTCAAGCTGCAACTGGCCAAGAATCAATCATTACCACACTTAGTGGTTTGATAGTTAACAGCCTGAACTGAAGCCAAACTGGTTGTTAACTGTGATAGCAACTGATTTCAAGGGGTTATTGCCGGCCCAATATGCTCAGCCATTTATTCTGGGGAGAACAAGCAGGGGGCTGTGGCAAGGCCCAGAAAAGGGAGGAGGACTGGGCTGTGCTCAGCCAAAAGGCAGACCAACCGCTCTGGCCCTGGGTCAGCTGTAGGAACGGTCGAGGTCTGTGTGGAGGCTTAACCACGCGGCATTATCACCGAGGGTTGTACGTGGCCAGGAGTTATGCACAAGGTCTCTCCATTCCGCCTGTAAGAGATCCTGCCTTGATTCTTCTTTTTTTCACATGTCCGTTTTTGTTTTTTTTTTTTAATGGGGTTTCATGTAACCTGGGCTAGCATCGGCCTTGTGTAGCCCCCTAGCCTTGAACTCCAGGTGCTTCTCCATGTGCCTCTGAAACATTGTGTCTTTAGTGTGCTCCCATGATGCCCCCAAGTGACAGCTTCCACAGGGAGAAGGCCAGCTTAGTGGCCTCTACTCAGCAGGTAGAGGCTGGACCCCTCACCTCAGAAACTCTCTTGTCATTTCAAAGCCACCAAAGACCCAGCCCAGGTCTTGACTGGAAGGAAGGAATGAGCACTCTCTCCTCTCACAGCAACAGGAACACCCCACATTCTAGAATGCCTCTGTGGTAAAGGACCTAGGGCTTCTCCACTCTCTCCAGATGGACAGCCTGTGGCTCAGCAGGCACGAAGTGTCGAAGCTAGAACATTCCAGGTCCAGGTTGCCTCTGGAGAACCGTAGGTCTCATCCTAACACCATTCATTCAGTCAATAAATAGTTACTGAGTGCCTGTTATATGCCGGACTCTATTCTGGGCAGAGGGGATAGAGCAGGAAAACAAAAAACAAAAACAGAACAAAACCCTGAAAATCCCCATTGTTATGTGCTCAGCTTCTAGAGGGAGGCAGGAGGGGGCACATCACCAACGGGACAGTATCAGACACAAATTCAGAGAAGGGAATGAGTGTGAAGAGCACTGACTGGCAAGAACAGCACGATCAAAGACAGCCTCGCTGATGACTTCGTGTTTGAACAGACACCTGTCGGGCCGAGGCTCTCGGGTGGGGGAGGGGCACCCAGGTAGAGAAGAGCCAGCTAACAAAAATGGAGGGAGGGGACTAGGGAAGAGACCAGTGTGGCTAGAACACAGGTCAGGGAAGACAGGGGTGTGTGTGTGAGGGGGGTGCTGGAGGAGGGGGTTAGAGGAGGCTAGAATACTGAGTTGAGACCAGAGAGATGGCAAGACATGGGTGGAGGGCAGATCCTGAGGGCTTGGTTGGAGGGACTTCAGCTTTGCCTCCGTGAGGTGGTACCCCGTTGTGAGGTTAGAGCAGCCGAACAACACGATGTGAAGGCAGGTTTTAACAAGATTGCTTTGGCTGCTGTGTTAAGAACAGACAGTGGGGGGCAAGAGGGCCGGTCACACAACAGGGCGAAGCTAAGTGATTGATAATAGTGGATTGGGAGAGGTGAGAAGCGAGTGGAATTTGGTGGGGTTTTTTGTTGTTTTTTGGGGGGAAGGGGAGGGGCAGGATCTGCAGGTGGGTTTGGATATGGTTTGGGTAGGAAGACAAGGTGGTTAGGGGTGCCTGAAGGCTTGAGCAACTGAAAGAATGAAGATGCCATTTGCTGAAAAGATTCCAGGTGGGGCCAGTTTAAGGAGGACTGGGAGTCTGAGTTTGGACATGTGAAGTTTGAGCTGACTCAGTATTCCAGAGGAAGCAGGGAGTGGGCAGCTCCTTGAGTCTGGAATTCCAGGGTGAGGTCTCACTCTTGTGATATAATATGGGTGCTGAACATAGGTGATGTGCAAAACCAGGAGACAGAACAGAGCCCTGGGGAGTCGGGAGCTAAGAGTGAGGAGATCCATGCTGGAGTCTCGAGCCTCAAAGTGCTTCTCCAGTTGGAAGGGAGAGGGAACATGGACAAAGATGGAGGAAGTGTGGCTCGTTGGGACCCCAGAAGACTGCCACATCCTGATGAAGCAGGAGACAGGGCAGTGTCAGAGCCTGCAGCTGTTAGTGAGGGTAGGAGGTTTATTGTCTGTCTGCCTCCTCTACCCCTACAAACCCAGAGCCAGGAAGTGGCCAAAACCAAGAATCACCTCATCTGGATTCCTCCAACAAACTGAGTTCTACCTCACTTAGAAGGTCCTGCTGGCTTCCCTTCCAGAACATCCTCTCAGCCAGTCTGAACAATGCCATCCATGCCTGTCAGTTGCTGCCACTCTGCTCCAAGTCATCTCTACCTTTTTTGTCTCACCATGTAAGATGAGTCACTACGTAGACCAAGCTGGCCTTGAACTCATGGAGACCCTCCTGTCTCTGTCTCTGAAGTGCTGGGATTAAAGGCAAGTGCTACCATATCTGGCCGCCACCTTTTTATTTTGAGGCAGGGCCTCTTGCTGAACCTGGAGCTTGCTGTCACTGAGGATCTACTCGTCCTTGCCACCATTCCCCAGCCTGAGTGCCAGGGTTACGGTCTGCACCGCTCTACCTGGCTTTTACCTGAGTGCTGGGGGTCTGAACAGCAAGCATTTCACTCACTGAACCATCTCTCCAGGCCTCCATCCTCAGTTCTTAGACAGTGACAGCCTCTGCACACAGCTGCTTTCTCTGGGCTCTCTCGTCCCCCTTCCATCCCCTCTGCACTCAGTCACTGGAGTTTTCAAAACTCAGGTCTGACTGTGTTA